ATATAACCCCAACCCTAAACCCGAAACCCTAAACCCTAAATCCCCTTTCTAGGGTACCATCAGCCAACCCTTTCTCCCCTCCCGAATTCCCCACCTCTGCTTCGGCGTGAATCCGCGCGCGCTGCTTCTCCAGAGCCGAACGCTCGCGCCTGAGGGCTTCAGCCTGGCAAGAGCCAAAGAAACCATCGGCGTTTAGGGTTTAGGGTTCAGGGTTTAGGGTTTAGGGCTTAGGGTTTAGGGTCCATTGGCGTCGACTATACTGGGTTCTTGCTGGAATACAATTAAGAAAGATTTTTTTTTTGATATTGGGCCCAGGTATCCATAAAAATGCCAAATTTTGTTCTACAAGAGCCCAGAATACATAATTCAGGATGTGCTGCAGGGCTTTAGTACGTAGGGAAGGAAGAAGTGGATCCCTATAGTAGTCCCTATGTAATCCCCTCAAGGTCTTCAAGGGTTTCTGGAATCCATTGCCGCATTCCCCGCTGAGCACGAATGAATTTTCTACAAGTGCGTGCTGCTGAACATGAGGGTTACGTACCCCGAAAACCTTGCAGTGCCAAGCCATAGTAAGGACTAGCTGCAATCTGAACCATGAACCATAAACAGTAAGCTCAAATCTATATGAAGAATCCTAAGCCCTAAGCCCTGAACCTCAGACCCAAAGCCCAAACCTCAAATCCCAAATCTTAGATCCTAAGCCCAGCCTAAACGCAAAAAAATCCCAAAACCCAACTTCCCCTGGCCTCTGCTTCCAGAGCCTCTGCCTTTGTACGGAGCTCGTTCAGCTCCTGGCCTTCATTTTTTTGGGATTATTGGTAAAATTGGGGCTTGGAAACTACTACAGGATATTGGGGTTATATTAGGGTTATATTGGGGTATTTTGGGATAATGCAAAAGACAATGGAAACTACTGTGGTATATTGGGGTTATATAGGCATAATGGAAACGAAAATGGAAACTACTATGGTATATTGGGGTTATATAGGGATAATGGAAAAGAAAATGGAAACCACTATAACCCACGTGAAGGTTTTACAGGTAATCTGAACATGAGATGCTGTTGTGTAAGGCCATGGGATTGCCGGGGCTCTCCCAGAATGAAGACTCCGGTATGGACAAATATCCATTCCCTAAGGGTCCAAGGACCCAAATAATTGGGTTTTAGGGTTCAAATACCATTAATATTATAGTATTTGGGCCCTAAAACCCTATCATTTGGGTCCGTGGACCCTTAGGGATTTGAGCAGGGAGGGGCAAAGTCCATTGCCATGATAGGAAGCAGACAGGGTCTCACAACCCAAACCCTAAACTTATTTTCATCGTCATGTGGTACCTATGTAGCGCGAGTGCTTGTGTCCGCCAACCTTCGTGGCGTCTTGGACTGGAAGGTCCGCCCAAACACGAAAGTGCATGAAAATGCGGGTTTCAGTCGAATGGTGCGGGCTCGGGCCCGTAGGGACAACGCCGCGATGAAGCCTCTCTTCTTCCGGGCCAAACTCGAAAACGTCCAGCCTGAAAGCTGTTTTTGAGCCAAACTTGAAACCCAGCGGCCGAAGGGTTTTGGGCCCACTTGAACGGCTGACCGCGCAGGCTGCCACTGCCGGTCAACTACCACGATGCCCGCTTCACGCGAATGGCGGCCGCGCCTAGCCGCCGTGACCAAGAGCAGGCGACAAGACAACGCAACCATCTTCACGCACCGACCCGCCTGCCCACGGCCGTGACCATAACTGCCATGTGGCACGCAACCCCACAGTCACAACTGGCAAACCGCAGCCTGGCTGCTTCGCACTGCTTTGCCGCTCATGCACGGACCGCCCACGCGCGGTCCAAACCAGCAGGATGGTAGCCCGCTCGGTCTCGCACCCTCCCACGGCTTCCTTGGTCGGCGGCCCGAGCCGGAGGCTCTTAAGTGAACGTTCCTACTACAACCAGATGTCAAAGTGAGTTCCTTGGCCCGCCTCTATCCATGCTTGCTTCCAGTTGGCGCCTGGCCTCTGCTATGGCCTGTCAGTTTGCAGTGGCAAGAACTGCATCAACAAGGGACAGAAACGCGCATGTGAAACTCATGTGCAGCAGATGCTGCAGCAGCAAACACGAAGGCAAGAGGAACCAGAAGAACGACGAGAAGCGGCTGCGGCAGCCGCAGAAGCAACAGCAGGGGCAGCGGGCAGCTAAGCATTATACGGACTGTGTGGATGTAGGTAATCCGTAGTCCTGTTCCACTTAGGGATACGATCAATAATTCTTTACTGTAGTCCTCAAAGTAAATCGCATGCAACAGTGATCCTCCAGCCGCTACATCCCAAATACAAGTCCGTTTGGCGCCTCAGCTTCTTGTCGGAGCTGCTTCCGTCCTCGGGCCAGCGCTGCCTGGCTGTGCAGGCTCCCGTTGGGTTGGGGGGTTTAGGGATTAGCGTTTAGGGTTTAGGGTTTTAGGGTTTAGGGTTTTAGGGTTTAGGGTTTTAGGGTTTAGGGGAGTAGAAGTTAAAAATGAATTGATGGAGGTTCTAGGGTCTTGGGATGCAGGGTTTTCTTACTCCCTGCGCAGAACCACACCAGCGTCTCCAAGTGATGCTCTGCACATCACCCATGGGGATTTTCCTGAGTGCGGGATATCCATATGGACCAAGGAGGCGTATGCGGGGATTACAATGCAGGGCGCTACCTTCAGTATTCCCTGAGCCCTAAACCCTGAACACTATACTATATAGCTACACGGACCCTTTGGGTAATTAGGCTTTGAGAAACCTCCATATCCGTCCATTCCGCGGCCTTCTCACGTCGTACTGCCTCGATAAGCTCAAGCGATTGCTCGCTGCGGTCAGCATCTCTCGCGGTTGACCTCAGACATACTGGTACCTAAGGAGAATTTGCATAGAGTCCGGAACCACGACAGGCTTCAGGGCTTAAGATTTCCAGGCTTAGAAGTTTGGGGATTGCAGAGGACTAAAGTAGACATCATAGCGGCATAGTCATTACGTCATTATCACAACCTATCTCTTCGATCGCGATCAGAATCGACATGTCCACATGGGTATGTGTCTACGTTCGAATCCGTTGCGTGCAAGATTATCTATATACATGTATGTACGTATTTAGATCGGCGCATACGCAAATGTCTCAGAATCACCCTTCTCATCCATTGCTGCCCAGTCCTTGCCAGGTGGTGGTCGCCCACACATGAGTAGTGTTTTTTTGGTGGTTAAACCTAGTAAGATATTCCTTAAATAAAAAACTATACCCCAAAAGGAGGATATAATCTTACTCTATATAGGGTACCATCATATTATTCCGAAGTATCCTAAAATTAAAGACTACTCACTTAATTAACAGAAACTCTGCCACATCGCTGCTGAAAGCTACTAAGTTGAGTAGGACTCCTAGGGGATGAAGGACTCCGAAGGAAGGGGGTTAACTTGTTGAGCGTATACTGTACACTTGTGCTGGGGTTTAGGGGTTAGGGTTTGGGGTTTAGGGTTTAGAAGGACTGGGGTTAACTTGTTGAGCGTATAATGTACACTTGTGCTGGCTTCTGTGGTTGCTGGAAAACCAGCACCGGATGTCCTTCATTGTATACAGTATCTCCTTCAGCTCCTACTAGCCAACACCCCTAACCCAAATCTCCAACCCAGTGAACCCTAAACCCTAA